TACATGTTTTAAAGCAATGGTTCTCAATCTTTTTAGAACCACGACCCAAATTTTCCCCCGAAAATCAATCGCAACCCACATGGTTTCACTTTTCAAAAAGTAGTTTATGAAAAACGCCGGAAAAATCATAAAATTACCTCTGTAAAATACCATCCCATTTAAATTTTCTTTCATAAAAAGTACATGAAAATCTAAACAAAATTGCTGGTAGAAACGTTGTTCACATATATAACAAATAATAATAATAATAAAACGTTATTGTTAATACATTCTTTATCCCACTCAAAATCTAAAAATATACATTTCTTGGAGTCTATAGAATTTAAAACAATTTTTGTGACTCACCAAAAATTAACTAGAGACTCACCAGTTGGTCGCAATTCATAGTTTGAGAAACGCTATTTTAAAGGCTACTAATAGTTACAATTTTCCGAAAACTTTATCTTAAAAAAATTATTCCAAAAATTACTACGTTACAATCTACTAATTTTCAACACTAAGTCCAACTTACAATGAACATCCTGTTATATTTTAAAACATTTTTGTTTGATCAAACAACGATATTCACAAAGTAAAAAAAAGTTATTAAAAAAAAATTTCCAAGGCCGTAATATTTATGATTTGCATACAAATTTGATCTTAAAACTACAATAAAAAAAATGACTTCATTCTCAGTATTTTATACCAGAGTTAGACATTATCCGAATAAAAATGCATTCCAATAATTTTAAAACATTATATTAAGCTCTATACAAAAATACTGTACTTTCCGTAATAGTCTAAAGTTTAAATCTATATAATGCGATCGAATCACATGAGTGAAGCTTATCTTAATTGCTTTAATACCGGTCTATCAGTAACGAAAATAAAATTGAATTTTTTTGAAATTACCAACCAATGTTTAAACAAATAAAATAAACGAAAATTAATCGAGTTTTATGTTCAAATAGATTCGAATGAATTTTTTTTCGAACAATCTATTTTAAAATTATTTGAATAAAAAATAATTCGAATAACTGTAAAAAAATCATTCGAATAATTATCTAGATAAACTTTTGCCCAATACTGCTTTTTACTAATACATACAAATTATAATGAATCTCCAGTTAAAATTTTAAACATTTCTGTTTAGTCAAACAATTAAATCTACAGAATACTTAGTATCTAGTATCATAGCATATAACAAATAAAAACTACGTACAAATTCGCAAACATAAAAATGTCTATAAAAATCTCAAAAATCGTCAACATTTTTTGACAATTCCAGAATAGGCAAATATGAATTTTCTGTCAAAATTTCAAGTCTACAAATCTTTTAAACTAAATTACACCAAAACAGCAATATTTAAAATAATAAAGCCATTATTTTTATTTTCCCGTTTTTTCTACGTTTTCTTCCGGTTTTCCTCAATTATTAAGAAAACTACACAGAGAATAAAAAAATAACTTATTTACTCTTACAAGATTCAAAATTCAACAAAAAGATCTCTTCATATTTTTTTTTATTGGAGAATAAATTTTGGTAGATAAGTTTACAAACAAAAACAAAAAAACAAAAAAAAGAGCTAATTCTACTGATAGGTACGCTAATGTTGTAAGTTGGAAATTTGGAAAGTAGGATATAAATTGTTATTTAATTTATATCTGTAAGCATAATTTCGAAATTTAGTCAGTCCGCTTAATTCTAACTCACAATTGTTCTTAAATCTGCAATATACATTTGTTCGAAAAAAAAAAAAATTGAAATATTAGAATTGTTTTACATCATTTTTTCATTGTTCCAAACTTTAAGTCTATAAAGTTGATAAAAATATTTTTAACTGAATTTCAACAGAAATATTAACATTTTTATAAAAAGCTTAAAAATGACTCAAATGTTTTAAAAATTTAACCACGTCTAGAAAAGGCAAATATAAGTTTCTGTCCAATTTTGAAGTCTCTACGACTATTTTTAACTGATTTACAACAGATAAAATATAAAAATAATAAAAGCATAATTTTCGTAAATTTCTCGTTTTATCTTAGTTTTCCCCAGATATTATAAAACCACTTGAAAAATCAAAAAATGACCTCTTAATAGTACCATCTAGACAACATTCTCTTTCAAAAATAGTACCGCGCCTCAGCAAGATTTATGGTCGAATTTATGTACATAGGATAAAAAAAGAAAAAGAAAAGGAAAAAATAAACATCTTAGTAAAACCAATACATCCTTCGCTATACTCAGAATTTAAAAGCTGACATACTCTATACCACGGTCTTAGAAGATAAGATCGGATAACTATACCTTAGCATTTCGCTTAGTTAGGTAAATTAATTTTTAAATTTTACCACTCTAAAATTGAGCGCTGCTGCTCTACGGATGTATTTTGAGGTTATAGTATTATACTAGTTTAAAATAATCATGAACCACAGACATATAATATATTATACTAGATGGCCGACTGCATATTAAATTGTATACTTAAATATGATATCAGCCGTCATTTGCAGATAAGTCAATGTTTGCTAAATAGACCTTTTTTTGAAAATACCTACCTATAGAATTTATTCACCTATTAGGTATTCACAATTCCCATAATTTCAATTATTCAATTAAATAGTTTTTAATATTTTTTCAAGTGAATTATTAAAAGTTTCATCCAAGGAGTGTGCTTTAACAAGTACCTATGTGTATTTTTGTATTTTAACAAGGTTTATTTTTTATTTATAGGTATTTTTTAAGTTTTTGAGAATTAGGCAATTTTTTTTTATTACTGTTATCTTTCTTCTTTTGTATTTGGCATTTTCAAATACAACTATACTCCGTCTCACGAAAAAAAGGTACTGCGTTTTAACGAAAACCGGTCAGTAACGTACATTTCCCTACGCCACTTCTCGTTTAGATCTAGCTTCTACCCAATATACGTGAGCTAGGGTTAGTGAAATGCTAAGGAATTCAATGGTGGTGTGGAGGTCCATCGGCATGCCGCGAACAGTACCTTTCTTTCGTGAGACAGGCTATCACTACTTAAATTAAAACAAGAAACACATCAAAAATCGAATATTTATTTATAAAAAATTTTGTAATTGCCACTAGATATTCTAGATAAGTATATTAGATAGTAGACAACATCACAAGTTTGTAATGTTTGTACCAAATTATGTTAAAATTATCGAATATTAACATAAATAAAACAATAATATTATAATATAATAATCCATTTTCAATAATTTGAATAATTTTTTTTTGCGGGTTGTTCGATATTTATCATCGAACATTCCTAACGAACGTCTACCCGTCAGCGTTTTTAGGGCAACAGGGGAAACGTCTTTTCCTCATTAAACGGAAATAAGCGGGAAGGTATAAAGTTTTTTGACATTATTTTCTAAGACCGTGCTCTGTACAATATATGGGTCGTTTGTGTAAGTAGAGAACGTAAATTATACATAATAGATAATTTAGTTTATATTTGTACGCAATAACAAATCAGTAAAAACGAAAATCGATTGTGAAGTAAGTTCGGTTCAACATGTTTCGACAAATTTAAATTGAAAAATGTATATTATTTTATAACCACAAAATGAATGACAATTTTTTGTGTTTAAACGAATTTTAGTAAAATATTGTGTGACGCGACGTTATAGTACGAGTCAATGTCCACTGTCCGGTAGGTGTAGGTGCTGCACCAGTGGTGGGGGTTCACCGTATTCACACACACACTGTGTTTTTGTCATAGACAATAAAAACATGGATAAGCCATGGGCACGAATTAAGATATACCTTAAGGGGCCTTGGCAGTAGCGTTTTCTAAGGAGCAAAATTTAGGCAATTTCTAATCTTATAGTTGCCGCCCGATATCCTCGGGTTAGTCGTAAACGATCATTAGTGTGAATCCATTTCAACGAGGGCACCGCTGCCCTCCGTATCATCATCGTAGGTCGCATCGTTATCTTGAATGTATTTTTGGGTTTATTACAATTTGTATATTATATACAATAATCAGAATAATATTATAATATTATAATTTATTTTGGTTTTATCAGATTACCTACAACTAAAAAACTACGGAATCTATGAATTTATTATATACGCTATACTATGTATGTGCTGTCTCCAACTAACGGACGATATAGCAAAATCTACCTTATGCAGTCTGTGTAGAACTCGCTTAATTTTTGATTTAGAATAAAAGCCCATATAAGCCCAACAATATTACGGTGGGCAAAAAAATACGTTTTTCTTATTATTCTGGTTAAAACGTTCAATGTCTGTTTTAAATATAGATCAAACAGGATAGTTCCAAATAGTAACGGCAGGAATGATAACAAATCTTATCAAAAATCACGTTCATGCTAGGAACATTTTGATAATTGGCCCAAGTTGACTGCTATTCCGGGAGCCTCTTTTGAGATTAGTATAGGGATGTCAAGTGCTTGAATTGGGGGGACGCGGGGGGACTGAGTACCTCAACTAATTTTTAAGAAATTTTAGCATACCTCTACTATTTTTTTCAAGTTATTATTTCTAGAAAATATCAAAGCAATGTATCGACGCCCCAAACGCCCCCAACGAAGAAGAACGTAACCCACTTTTATCATTTTTCAGTTTATCCGCTTATCTTGTTAAATTTTTTTTTTCCTGTTAAAACGGCAGTATCTTTATTCTATCAAGGAACTTCTAAACATCAAATAGTTTATAAACTCCCAATATTGCTTTACCGCTGAAAACAGACGTAACTCAGTGTCTATTTTTAAAATTAGTAATATAAACTACAAACTTAGAAAATAATAATGGTATTGGTTATTACTATACTATTGAATAAGAATATTATTATTACCAGGCCAACAATAAAATGGGCATAAATAAACAAAATAATAATATTATAAATTTGTTTTTCTTATTAATGGAGAACAAAATATCAGTGTAATAAATTAATCATAATAATTTATATCAAGTCGTTATCTTAATATTATAAACCAAACAGAATACTTAACACATTTTTATACAGATAATCATAATGGTAAGTAGTTCTTAAATAATAAATAATTTTTTGATTTTAAATAAAATTATCATTTTTTGTATAGTTATTATAATATTTTAATGACTTAACTATATTTTCATCAGATAAAGATAGTATTCTGGATACCTATGGATATGGGCTTATAAGTAGTGATGAAGTAGAAGATGAAATTAATTTTAATACAATTAATGAAGATGAAAATATAATTGTAAATAATAATCTTACTAAAAAGGTATGATGATAATTATCATTAGTTTTTATTGAATTTCCAAACAAAAAAAAATAATTTTAATATTTTTATGCTATATTCTATAATAAACTTAAGTAGTGTTGTAAGTAGTAACAAAAGTTTTTACTTGAACACAAAATAACACTGTTTTATATTTTGTCCATACAAAAATAGTTAAATGAAAATTCTTATAGTGAAAATGATCCTGAAGAGTACTATGATAATGATAAAGATCCAGAGTATAATCCCTTAAAAAATGTAATTAATGACTATGTTACCATCTGATGATAATCTAGCAAATATTTTACCTCTTACTGTAAGTTATACAATAGGTATATAAATATTTTAACTTTAATCATAGTAATTACATAATTGTTGTATGATTTTAAATAGGGAAATAGCACAACTAAAAAAAAACGTAAGCCAACTGCTATAAAAAAGGATCTTGTGAGAAAAATGTAAAACATACAACTGATTGGATTGATGTTAAATCTAAGTGCCAATTAAATAGAGGAGAAGAACATCTTATCAGAAAGGGACAAAATAAAAATGTTAAGAAAATATGGCCACTATGTTCTGAAAAATGTAGAATGAAATATTTTGACAAACTTAGCAATATTGATCGTAAAACAATTTTTTAATTGTACTAATAAATAGGTGATCATGACAGGCATCATGAGTTCTTTGCTAGATATATAAGGATAGTGCAGTAAAAACAATTAATGATAAGCCCATCTCAGTCACGTAGACATGTATCCAGAAAATATTTTATACCTGTACAAAACAAGGAAATTCAAGTGTGCCAAAAAATGTTTTTGCAAACATTTGCTATCTCAGATAAAGTAATAAGCAACATTTTCAAAAAAATAAATAATTCACCAGTTTTACTTGCATTCCAAAGAGGCAAACATACTAATCGTCCACTAGCCATTAAAGACAATGTTAAGATTACACAGACAACATATTGAAAGTTTTCCTGTTATTGATTCCTATATTAGATCTGAATCAACCAGAAAATATCTTGAAAATGGCCTTTCCATTTCTAAAATGCATAGACTATACTTAGAGTGGATTAAAGAGAAACCTTTTACATCAACACAAGACAATTATGATAACATCGTACATGTAACACTAAGGCAGTAAAAGTACACTGATATATTCAATAATGAATTAAATTTATCATTTTTCAAACCAAAAAAAAACTTTTGCGATAAATGTGAGGCATATAATTAGGTCAGCTTAGAAGAAAAAATTAAAATACAAGTTTCATATGATAAACATTTGTTTAATAAAACAATTGCAAGACTGAATAAAAATTCTGATAAAGAAAGGGCACTAAATGATCCTAAATATTGTGTTGCTGTCTTTGACCTACAAAAGGTGTTAACTTCTCCATAGAGTGAAATAAGTAGTTTTTACTACAAAAGAAAATATGCAACCTACAATTTCACAATTTATGATATTGGTAATAAGCAAGGTTATTGTTGTATGTAGAAGGTAATAGAGGATCTAATGAAATAGGAACATTCTTATTAAAATTTATTGCACTTTTAAAGGATAGAGGTACAGAAGAATTCACTTTCTACTCTGATAACTGCGGCAGACAAAATAGGAATAGATATATTTATTCTATGTGGGAATATGCTGCCTCGATATACAAAGTTAACATAATTCATAGATTTTTTGAGATCTTTGATCTTGAGATTTTTTTCATAGATTGATTTTTTTACCCTAAAAAAGGTAAAATAATTTATGTCCCATTTCCATGGATGACTTTGGTAAGATGTGCTAAACTCAAAAAAAATGTATGTGTGATTTACGAAATGTCCAATGAAGACTTTGAACTTTGGGCCATTAGTTGAAAATAAAAAGCTAAATTGGAAAACATCAATCACTAAAGAAATTATAAAATGAAACAATATAAAAGAAATAATTGGATAAAAAAGTCCTTTTATTTTAAAAATAAAATATGAATATTATACAACAGATTTTATTTTATTACCACTGACATAATTTTATCAAGAAACAAGGGAACACATCACAAACGAACTATCCCAATAAAGTTTATGAAAGAAAATTTCAATATTATCCCTGTGTGATAAAGGAATCATCCCTTTAGTGTACCACAGCTTTTATAAATCTTTAAAAACATATAGACTTATAGACTTATTTAGACTTTTTATTATAATAAGTATATTATTAATTAATAATTACTTATATTTTTTTAATTTTCATACTTTTATAAACTTATTATTAAAAATAAAGTGGATATTATCATTTTATTCTTATTAATACATTGTATAATGATGAATTGATGATCATTATTAAATACAATAATATTCACTTTTTTAAATTACCTTTTGTTAAAATATATTGTATTTCTAAAATTAAAATATTAGTTCATAGATTGTTTTGGTGTTGATATTTTATTTAACTTTAAGTTTTAAAAGTTTTAAATTTTATGTACTACAGTTTTTTTTAATATGACGTGTAAACTATAATAAAGACTTATACAATTACTAAGAGATTTATTTTTAGTGATTTCCCTTTGCAATTTAGAATATTATGCATTACAAAAACTAGAGTTAATTTATAATAATATTATTATAAATGTTTTTCTTTCCTCAGAATTAATTTTTTTCCCATGGAAAAAGGATGAAAGTCAAATAAAATAGCCTAATTATGACTTAAGGTCATTTACAGAAAGATACTAAAAAAAAAAATTGTGATTTCGCATTTAACACTAAAAACTACAAATATTAAAAAGTTGAAATCCAGAATAAGAATTTAATTTAGAAAACTTTAAACTGCTCTCCTGAAAAATGATAAAAAGTGAATTACGTCCTTTTTCATTGGGGGCGTCGATATATTTTCTCAATTTTGAAAATGCATGCAACACAAGATAATAGACTTCTACATTGTTTCGTAAAGCTGTTTAAAAGTCTAGCAAACAATATGCGTTCTAGTACTTTTCAAACATCACATTCAACAATAAAGGTAATATACAGGCTGTCCCACAAGATATTCTCCTTGAATATCTCCACAAATAATAAATATAATCAAATTCTGATTTTTTCATATTACTCGCAGGGATGAAGACTACAAATATTTATTTTATTATTTTCAGAAAAAGTTAGGATAGCCATTCTGTAGAGTTCATTTTTCTGAAAATTTCAATTTAGTACACATTTATATCTACTAAATAGTTTCTAAGTAACAGCCGTTTTAAATTTTACTATTCTGTGAGAAAACCTATGCTATCGCCAGTGGCGTATTGATAGGGTGGCATGACGGGCAAAAGGCCATGGGCCCATGACCCTAGAAGACCCATTAAGGAATGTGTGGAATCCAAAAAATAGATCATCAATTTTACAAAAATTTAAAAATACGATGGATCTTTAGAAAAACTATGTTCTTGTAAAATTAAATTAATTTAAAATAATTGAATTTACAATTTAAAAAAATGTATTAAGCCGGGTTCGAACGGAGTCGTGAATTGGGCAAGAGCACTACTACTAGATCAGCTAGTCGTGATCACTACCTAGTGTGAACTAGTGGTCGTAGTAGAGGGTGTCGTCAACGACCAAAAATAGATCTGTCGTGATTACTCTGGCATGTTGGAGTGAACACGACCGGTTTAGTCGTGAAATATCTACGAAATGTGAATTTTGTTGCGTACAAACTCTCATTTTTTTTTCGATTTTTGTTTATTTATAATACAATTTTTATTAATTTAATAAATAAATACATTTTGTTTTTATACAATAATATTTCCTACGTCAGCGCAATGTCAGTGTACAAAATGAATCTAACACAAACAATTCAATTTGTTGAATTGTATCGCGATGCAGAATGTTTTTGGAAAATAAAACGGGTATCGATGGTTATAGTATTCGTAAAGTAGCCCAAAAGATTAAAAATATTAAATCAGCTTATTATCAAAAATTAAAAAAAATAACAACTCTAAAAAATCTGGAGCATTTGCAATTGATATTTATCAGCTTAAGGTACCGTGGTTTACGATTGTCCATTCATTTCTGAATTTTGAAACCGTATCTAATCTTTGTAATTCGCAGGTTCAATCTGACAATACATCAAAGCAACTAGAAGACAAAGACATTTGTGGGCTAGATGACCAAATCGAAGTAAATTTGTCAAACGAAAAGAAGTCTGATCAAAGATTCAAACTTCCTTCAATATCAAATCAGGCAGCTCAATAACAGAAAAGGCTGCTTCAAAATTAATGTGCTCCACCATCATATATTGGAGAAGCCATTAATAAGTTAGAAAGCATTTAAAAAAAATTATCTTTAGAAACTGAATTTGATATTTGGTACCAAAGTTTCTGGTCGAGACGACGCCTTTTATTACATTTCAGACACCTATAGCCTACGTCGTCGAATAAAATATTAGCTCCGTGTGAACTGCAGGTCGTATATAATCGGTCATGTAATTCAAGCAGTCGTGAGACATGCGCAGAGTGAGTAGTATTCTCGTCTAGTTTACGACTCTGTGTGAACCCGGCTTTACTGTCACACGCTTATAGATTATTTTATGTATAGTGTCTGTCACAATAATAAAATTGTGGAACGTATGAAACGTAATCTATATTTAGAGCGGTAATACCCTCTTATCTAAGAAACCGTATTGGCAATTGTCGATTACTCGATTCGTTATAATACAAATCCCAGACAAACATCCATCGTTTTTCGATATTATTTTGTGAATTGAAGTCATTGTGTTGTAACCGTTCTTAGTTGATCGATTTTGTCTTCGTAGTTCGTACTTTGTCTTGAATTTTATTCGCAATTAATATTGTGAAAATGTCGAAAAAAATACCTAGTGGTTATGAAAAGCGTAAAAAGAAGATAGAAGAACAAAAAAAAATTATTAAAATTGTCCAAAATAAGTAGTTTTTTTTTCTAACATTCCTTGTGAAACTAAAAATAAAGTTATAATTATTAATAGTAATAATGTCGAGCTTAATATTGATCTAAGTGTAGAACATAATACTTCAAGTGAAACAACTGACCGTGAAGACTTCACCTTTGAAATTTTACCATGTTTTTCTTCTAAAGGTACGAATGAAATAAATCGTTTGATATTATTTTTAAAAATATTATTGAAACTTCTTCCGATAAAACGGATCTTTTTCATTTTAAAGAAACTATGTAAGATGCTAAAATTAAACGTTTTATAATTTAAAATTGACACAGTAAACCTAAAGCTAAAGGGTCTTTTTCTAAAAATTCAGATTGTAGATATTTAATGTTAATCTTCATGTAACATCTGCAAACGCGGAACAATCGTTTTCAAAGCTAAAAGTGATTAAAGACTATTTAAGAAGTACAATAAGTATGACCCAAGATCGTTAAAAGTAGTCTACCATTACTTTCTATCGAACAAGAAACAGTTCGAGAGGTTAACTTCGAGGATTTAATTGACGAGTTTGCTGAAGCAAAAGCAAAAAAGAAGAAATTTTATAAAACTGACTGCATATTACTTTAAATATAAATTAAATATTTTAAAAATTGTATTATTGACTTATTTAAATTATTTAAAAAAAAAAAAGAGATACATATTATAATGTATAATAAAAAGTGACGGGGACACGAATTTTTTATAAGCAAACAGAGTACCACTTCTTAAATTTTCCAAATTCTAGCATTCGGGATTCCATGTCCATATATTTGTTATCTATGGTTTTCGCGCATGTCAACCTTATACTAACAAAAAATTAAAACTCCAGTTTTAATTTCTTTGCTCAAAATATGTTTTACGGGGTTAATTCAACAGCCTCATAGAGACGTTCGATATCGATATTTTATTTTTGTTGAACAACTTCCTATAGGGCACGTAGGACTTTAATTTTGCATCATGATGTAACCAAAAACCACAACAAAATAGTAAACATTTGGTCGAAAAAAGCTCTAAATTTAGCGTTTTAAAATAAAATTTACAAAATCCAAGTCCAATGCACCTTGTAAAAAGACTTCATCTTTCAGAAAAAAAAAAAAAATTATTGAAATCGGTCTTCTCTACAAGGCAGAAAAGTTAACTCCGTAAAGCATATTTTTGGTGCAAAAAAACTGGTCACGCGCAATCCTATTAACAACTAAGTTTATTTTTATTCTTTATTAATATTTATAATAACAAAAATAAAATTGTTTTGTTTTTATTTTATTCTAAATTTAAGATAACTAACTAAGTTGATGCGATTTGTTAATTTGTTGTTACATTAATTTATTAATTTAAATACTTATTCAAATTTAAATATACAGTGTTATCACTATTATAATAAACTTTGAATAAAAAATGTATAATCTCTTTTTTTATAAGTGAGATATTATATGTTAATATATACAATTTATTTGCGTATATTACCAACCCTGATCTGAATTCATTATTAAGTACAAATATATTAATTGTGATAAGGAACTTCGTAATAGTTGTTGAAACTAATTGTATTACTTCGCAAAGTTTCACCAAAATAAAAAAACTTAAACAAAAATTCTAATAAGACTAATATTTTCATTATTATACATATTATTAATTTTAAAAGTAAATATATCCATAAAAGGCGTTAGATAATAGAGTTAATTGGTTTTTAAAAATATATATTAAATTCCTATTCGTCCCAAGTTCAGGTAATTAGGAACACATTTTTGAAAAATTATATCAAAAAAAACTAATGTATACAAAAACTTCCAAAGAAGACTTCGAAAAGTTGTCTACCAACTTGTCTTCTATCCTAATCTCTTTTCAAAAAACATAAATATCATAAAAACTATAGATTTTAATGCAAAAAAAACTTTCAAAATCTTTCCTATTCGCCTCATTTTATGGTACCTATTATAAATATTGGTACCTGCCTATGTAATGTTATGTTGTATATAAATAGTTTTTGCATTTTATAATGATTTTAATAGGTATGTATTAAGGACCTATGGGTAATATAATAATTTTTAATGTTTTATAAAGTGCATTGGACAATATACGAGTATATACCAACATAATTCTTTCTATAAGAATGGCACTGTCTTTTTCTTTCTTTTTAAAGTGCTTTTCGAGTTATAGATATTGCAATGTTAAATATTTAATTAAACTAATTTATAATTAATTAAATATTATTGAGCAATTATCAATCAATATGTGAACTTTTATTTATGTTATAATAAAGAAATAAATTATTTTGAATACTTACCTACTATAAAAGAACTTGTTCTCTATTTGATATTTATTTAATTACCTATTTATTTTGCTTATACGACTGTATAAAAGATAATTAATTTGAAATATATTTTAAATACTAAAATATTTGCAAATATTTGTTTAGTTCATTCACTTTCTGACACTGAATACCCCTCGCTAGGGGTGTTCAACGTATTTAATAAGTGAATTCTTTCGTTAAATGTTAACAAATGTATAATAATTACTTTTTCTAAAACAATTACTTTTAGTTAAAAATCTTAATATTATTTTTAATTCTCAAATATTGTTTTCTCCTCATATTATTTCTATAAAAATCAATAACTCTCAGTTTGCTTTTAAGGAAAAATGTGCATGACTGTTAATGTGTTTATATATCATGCAATTTTGTCATGTTTAGTTATTTAATTACCTATTTTGTATTTTCTTAACATTACACTTATATTTTGTATTTGGACTTACATCTGTAACCTTCTTAATAAATATCCAAAATTTGTCTTTACCAAACTATTTAGAGTATCCACCACTAACTTTCATCACATATACATATAATCAGTTTCTTTGTTGAGCTCAGATGTGTTAATTTCGATGTTCTTTTAGTATCTATCAGACTCATTCCAAATTATATTATATCCATTATCAATACATTTGGATTTATAATATTATACACATATAAAAGAACTTTCAAATTCAATGTGATAATTTATATTGATTACCTTTAACATTAAAGTTCTGAATTTAAAATTAATATCCAAATGTATATACAATTTTTATTTGTTTCCACTTCCTACTATTTGTAATTAAATCAGTTTTTTCATATAGTAAGCAATGACTAAAAGCATAAAAAAATGAATTTACTTAATGGTAAATTAATTAACTTTTAAAGTTGTTACTATTATATATTTGTATTTGGGGCTACTTTGACTAAAACACCTTAATAATTTAATTCAAAATTAATCACATTCAATTTATTCCTAATAAATAAAAACAAATTAAAAAAAAAAAAGATGTGTAGTATCTTGAATTTTAGTACCTACCAATTAATATACCTTAAAGTAGACATTCTTATTTTTTTTTTAATTTTCAATTTTAGTATAAAATAACATAAGGGTATATAATATACATATATTATATAAGTCTCTAGTAGTTACTTACCAATAGAGATAATCTTCATAATTTTCAAAGAGACACAAATTAAATATTCTCTAATTTTTACTTAACAGTCGTGTTACCTAATCTATCATAATATAAAGTTTAAGCATAATTTTTTATTATTTTACATTATTTAATTTTAATAAATACCATAAAAATAAAAAAAAATCAATTTCTATGTATAAATCATTTAATATAATATAAAAAGTGTTATTAATTCATTTAGTCAGACCATTTAGCTGAAGAAATAATTATTCAGTTTAAATATAATCAATTATGCCCATTATTAACAGCAAGGATTCATATTTTATCAATATATCAATACTGAAATAGATTGTATTTTAGTATTGGATACTATGGGAATTTAGGAATGAATCACTAGCTGTTTAATATGAATATCATCAACTCACCTCATCTGTGACTGCAGTTTGGACTTACTACTGACCATGCCAAATCTAAAATAGAATAAAAAAAAGAATTATTTACATATTGAACAGTTTTATACTAATTTATAAATATGGAGATGAAAAAATGGAAGGGTTAAAAATAAATATTGGAAAATAATTTAATTAATTAATGGATTATATATCAAAAATATCACATAAGATTCAAAACTACTTACCATACCAAACATCAACAAGTATTAGAAAATAGAGTAAGTGTTAGAGTTATTATTAAAGTTTTGATATTTTCAGCTTGGCAAAATATTGCATTCAAATTTTATAATGAAACAATAGTATCCCAAAATGTGTACATTGAATTTAAATATTTTATTTTTGTTAAATTACTTCTACTGTATAAAATAATTTATTTAAGCAATTTCTCAGAACTATTAAAAGTTGTTAAAAAGTACCATGGGTTACTAATGGCTAATTAAATATCATATCAAAACTTTAAATTATAAAGAAACATTTTAATTCATAAATTTATCTTAATAAAATAAATAAAAAAATGTGAATATCCTGATTTTTGTTGAACATGTTGAACATTCTGAATAAATATAAGTGGGTTAGGTAAGTTTATTTGTTAAATTAATCTATTAGTATTTAATAATAACGAAATAAATGTCAAAAACTCCTTTTCGGTATCAATATTTCAGGGGTAGGCAAGTGGGTTGAAGAAAATTGTATTGTCGCACAAATTAAAATTGTTTGCGTCGCCATTGATACTTACTATATACTATTAATTTTAATTGTTTTTTTCGTTATTTAGTGATGTGTTATTATACTCGCATTTCAGAAAGTAGGCTCAAATTTAGAAGAAAAAAAAGTTTGATGCCTACAGTGAGCGCTATCATGTGGCCATCGCAACACCACAATGACACTCTAAGTTTGGAACGCGAACAATCTTATATGAAACAAACTCGCTTTTTGAAATTTGTGTATTCCTTACTGGAATGCTAAAATAGCAGTTCAAATGTAAACAAATTTAAAACTCACTGTCACAGGCTCTAATGGCTTTGTATATTTGACACCGAAACTTTTCACTCTTGAGTTTTGACGAAGAACACCAGTACACCAACACGATAATAATAGCGACGACACGTTTTAATTTAATAAAATATCAGCCGTAGAAAAACGGAAAAAAATCACGAACTCTATCGACACCACGGGAAAAAGAAACACTACACAATAAAATATACTATACGCGAACAACCTTAACACTCGCGAGTCGCAACCGAAGCCCGGTGAAAAATGAATGAAGGTCGTGGAATCACAGAGCTTCGAAGCTTCAAAGCTGTCTACATTGAACCAATGCACCAATGAAACGCTTCCATATACGACCGTTACGTCCTGGCAGAGCCGGATTGGCTGCTGTGAAAATCTCGTTGAGCTATTCGCAGTGCCAAAATGTGGCCAGGGAGGCACGAATTCTCATGGAACTTTTTATTTTATCAGTTTAAACAGTTGTACAAAGTGTCCCACTGTTTTCCCAATGCTAATATCTCTGTTAATATTAAAAAAAAAACTTTGAACCGATGTAACAGGCAAATCGTACCCCGGATTATAATACCTCTCACACTACGATTATACTAATATTACTATACCTCTAGTACCAAATTTCTAGGATACATCTAACTCCTAAAATTATGTAACCGAGGCACCTACGGGCTATGACTTTCCTAGGATAATCATATCACTCACAGGTAACATATACTATTATACTAAGGAGACCATAGAGTAATTTTCAGATAGAAGATTAAATGAAACTAGATTTCAAAATCTATTTAGAGCCTATAGATACTAGGTTGGTATTTTTTGAAAAGGAATAAGGAAGGTTAACATTAGCTTTAAAAAACGTGTTAGGTAAGTGCTGAAATTAAGACATTATAATATTCTACTGTTCATAGTTTATATTAAACATTTGAGTAGACAATTATAAGTAAAATATTAAATTACTAATATTTAAAATAAAAAATATGTCTACCTTCATGTACACATAAAGAAGTTTCTGGCTTTTGAAATTTTGAAGTAATTATATATTTCTTTAATTTATTCATTTAAATAAACTATTAAGTATAAAAAAATATAATAGACAATAAATAAATTAACACTGAACACAATATGTCAATGGTCAAAACACTACATTACCTATGGCTTTTCAACATATTATGTATAACCGAACTCTGCTCAGAATGTCCGTTTTTTTTCAAAATATGTGCTCATTGTTTTTCGTTTGATAAGCACAATATTTTTTATCTTCTAAATGTATACAAAATTATGTTATTCTTTTACTACAAAAATAGTCAAATAATAACAATATTATTGTGTATATGTTTTTAATCTGTGTATAGACTATATACAGTGTACAACATTAATCTGTTGTAGATTTAGGAATTTATTAGATACTATTTGTT